CTGAGGATCAGCAGCGGCGAGGCGAGGGCCGACGCCGCTCGGACGCCGGCCCCCTCCTCCCCTCGCGACGGCGACTTCGCGGCGGCGGAGAGCGGGCGGCCGACCCGAGACCCATTCGATGACATCATCTCGGGAAAAGTGGCCGGCCACAACGACAGTGTGAATGTAGTCCCGGAGACGGGGTCCGACCGCTCACACGCTCCGATCTCGTCCGAGGCCGATAAAAAGAGCAGGTCAGACTTAAAGAGCGCGCCCCCTGGCGCGGGCGGCCGCCGAGTTGACAAACGGGTTCTGGCGCGGATTATGAGGGAACAGTTCAACGAGTTTAAGCAGCGGCTCACGAGGAAGGCCAAGTCCCTCTCTCTCTCGGGACAGCAGGCCGATGGGTTCAAAGGCACAGCAGATACGGGCGCGGCCGCCACGAGCGCTACCAGCGGACCCTCGGCCGACGCAACGGCAGAACCGCCGACCCGAGTCCTGGTGGGCGAAGTGGTCCCCAAGGCGGCGCGGCGGGCCGGCGAGGAGCCCAGCGGCGTCAGGTCCGGCCTGCTGCGTCAGGATGCTCACCCCATCCCCGTCACCTTCACCTCCCTGCCCGGGTTCCCGTCCGTCCCTCGCGCGCCCGGCACCGGGGTGGCATCCGTGGCCACGGGAACTGCGGCCCAAGCATCTGCTGGCCCCTCTGCCTCGCCTTCAGGGGGAAGAGGCGGCGCCCCGTCCGTCATGATCGACTCCCTCTTCGGCGGGGGCGAGCGCGGGTCGGGCATCCGCGGCGCAGGGTTCAGCCGCGTCCCGGGCGTCCCAGGGCCCAGGAGGCTCCCAGGCGTCAGAGGCACAACCACCACCAGGACTTCCTCCAGCCCCCCCGACCTCATGTCTATCCTACAGACGCGCCTCATAGGCGGCGTCCGCAGCGTCTCCAGCGGGGCATCAGGCGGCGCCCCCACCGCAGTGACAGGCGGCGGGGGCGTGCTCATGGCGGGCGACTCCATGCTGCTTCAGTTCGACCCGTCCATCGTGGTCAACTTCCTCACGCTCGTCGCCCTCACGCAGCAGCAGCAGCGGTACGGCGTGGCCCTCTGTCGCACGGTGAACGGCAGTGAATAACATTCCCACACAGCTGGCGTTTTATCGAACCTTACGAAACATCCTTTCGGTTGCAGACGTGGCGAAGGGTCGCCGCAGGGGCAGAGGAACGCCTCGCCGGCGGGAGGGCCGACCATCGCCGTTGCCGCGCCGGCCTCGGATGGGGAGTTCGGGCCCTTCAGCGACGGCGCCGACCCGTGAGTCTGGACTCGCAGTCCAAAGCATCATTCATCAATCGATGCATATGCATGCAAAACAAATCACAAGCGCAGACGTTTATCCACGTGTATGGATATATATATATATATATATATATATAATTATATATATATATATATATATAAAATATATAAACTCGCCTAAAACCAACATATATGCATGAAAACACAAATCATTATATATATATATATATATATATATATATATATTATATATATATATATATATATATATAATAATATCCTACGCACACACACCACACACACACACACACACACACACACACACACACACACACACACACACACACACACACACACACACACACACAACACACACACATACCAACACATACAATACATACACAATTATATATATATATATAATATATATATATATAATATATATATTATATATATATATTATATATATATATATATATACATCCACACACACACACACATATATATGTAGTAAAGTCTGCGCAGGATATCAAATGCAATTTTTAGGCCATAATTTGGATTTTTTGTAGGCATTTCTTGCATTTTTTCATCATTAAAGAATTATTATTTGAGAGGGAAAATTCTTACACACATTTAAATGCAAAATTAAGAGTGAGTAGAGGGGTGGGGTCTGAAACTTTGCATATAAATGACTATGTGTGCGCGTTTGTTTTTACAGTCACGCATATGTAAGTGTAAATATTAAAAGTCATGGATAACGTTCACGTAAAGTTTTGCAATCTATATATTTTTGTAATTAGGAACAATATATGAAATTCCTACAGGCCACTCAAGCAAATATCAACACAAAACTGATGAACAGAAGCAACATCGGGAATTTCATAAAAAAAAAGAAAAAAAAGAAAAAAAAATGAAAAAAAAATCCAGTTACACCTTTAACATTTCACTCACCTCGAGTACCTTGGTATATGCTATGCAATATTGCCTGACAGCTTCAATGGTGAATGAAATAAGGAGAGAGATGGTGGGAAAGAGGGAGAGAGGTAAATATAAATCAGTTTCTAAAAGGAGAAGAAAATGACAGAAAGAAGGAGGTAAAGAGAGAGGAAGAGAAGAGACAGAAAGAGTAAAGAGTGAAAGGGAGAGGGAGGGAGGAGAGATGAGAGAGGAGAGAGACGGAGAGAGGTAAGCATCGAAAGAGAAAGCAAGTGATGGGAGAAAGGAAGTGTTAATAGCATTTCAACAACTCAAGCAATACCCAGAAAAGGTCGCCACACTCTCCTCTTACCCAAGAGGCCAAATCAGGGCACTCTTTTTTTATATTGTCCAAGTAACCCGACCTTTACGATGACCTTTTGTGAAGAGGTTCCTCGCTGAACTTTATTAACTAACAATGGTCTGTTCTTCCTCTTTCTGTTTCCTGGTTCCTCTCCTCTGGCCCTCTTTTTTCATGTTTTCCTTTTCTTTACTTTTTCTTCCCCCAAAACTCTGTTACATCATTTATTCTAAGATAAACAAGGAAATAGAAATATAAGATGAAGAACTTAAGCAATGTAATGGTGACAGAATAATAACACACCTTTCTAAACCCAATTTTCTTTCCATGTCATTCACCTATCATTCTCTCTCGTTTCCATCTTTTCTTTCCTCTCTCTTCACTCTCCCTATGTCTCTCTGAGAGTCTGCAATTCTGTCTTCTCTATTATATTTACCTACCCATCTCTCAATTTCTCAAAAAAGCCTTTCTCTCTCTCTCTCTCTCTCTCTCTCTCTCTCTCTCTCTCTCTCTCTCTCTCTTCTCTCTCTCTCTCTCTCTCGTCAGTTTCGCCAACCTTCTCTCTTTTCCTTGTTTCTCTCGAGTTTCTCCTCCCTCTTTTCCGCTCTCTTTCTCCCTTCTGGTAGACCCCAGTGCATATGTTAATGATAAAAAAAGGCAAAAAAAAAGTTGGCAAAAATTCAAACAATCAACAAAAAACAAAGAACTGAAATTGCAAAAGCAGAAAAAAAAAACAGAAGTCCCGCGCGGATATGGGCTCGTGACCAACAACCCCGCCCAACAACCCCCGCACTAAAAGGCCCAATGCTTTTATCACCCCGACACTTCCAGATCCGCCGGAGTGGATCCTTCGACGATCTTGCTGCCCCCCATGCTGCGCCAGACGCTCTACTCCTACCTGCTGCCTCGCCTGGCATCGCTCAGTGCCCTGGTGGAGACAGTGCCCGGGGTGCCTGGGCTTGACTACCCGATCATAGGCACCGTTCCTTACACCAACTTCTACTGCTCGAACATGCCCTGGCCAGGATTCTACGCCGACACGGAGGCCAGGTGTCAGGTATGATGCGAAGTGAACATGGCTTTGGTTCTCGACTTATAATCTAGTTTAGTCACCCATGAAAGATTCAACTCATAATATAATAGTTTTCTTTGATCCATTTTAGGAGGGACTGCGTCGCATCAGTTTTAGTCACTAAAAGACCTCTTCCCCATATTTATAGAAGTTGTATATAAATACATACATACATACATGCACACACACACACACACACACACACACACAACACACACACACACACACACACACACACACACACATATATATACATACATATATATATATATATATATATATATATATATATATATATATATATATATAATATATATATATATATATATATATATATATATATATATATATATATATAATATATATATATATATATATATGTGTGTGTGTGTGTGTGTGTGTGGTGTGTGTGTGTGTGTGTGTGTGTGTGTGTGTGTGTGTGCGTATGTGTGTATACACAGTATATATGTATATATGTATATATGTATGTATATGTATACATATATACAAACACATACACATACATACGCACGTACGTGTATGTGTGAGAGTGTCTGTGTACGTGTATGTGTATGTGTATGGTGTGTGTGTGTGTGTGTGTGTGTGTGTGTGTGTGTGTGTGTGTGTGTGTGTGTGTGTGTGTGTGTGTGTGTGTGTGTGTGTGTGTGTGTGTGTGTGTGTGTGTGTGTGTGTGTGTGTGTGTGTGTAGCAAGTGAGTGAGTGAGTGTGAGAGAGAGTGAGAGTGAGTGAGAGTGAGAGTGAGAGTGAGAGTGAGAGTGAGAGTGTGTGTGAGAGAGAGAGAGAGAGAGAGAGAGAGAGAGAGAGAGAGAGAGGAGAGAGAGAGAGAGAGAGAGAGAGAGAGAGAGAGAGAGAGAGAGAGAGAGAGAGAGAAGAGAGAGAGAGAGAGAGAGAGAGAGAGAGAAGCAACTGACCCAACTAACCCCCCATCCCCCTCCCTCCCCCAGTCGTGGCACTACTGCGACCTGGACGGGCGCCAGGCGTCGTTCCTGTGCCCGAACGGCACGGTGTTCAACCAGGCGTTCTTCGTGTGCGACTGGTGGTACAACTTCGACTGCGAGTCCGCGCCGTACCTGTACTCCCTGAACGAGCGAGTGTTCGCGCTGCCGGAGGTGGACGAGACGGCGCCGCACCGCACCCTCACGGCCGAGATGCTCGAGACCATCTTCCTGTGACCTCCTCCTTGACCTCGCCCGCCCGCGCCGCTCCTCCCCTCGGGCCAGGTGCGTCCTCCTCGTGCTCTTCTCGCAATCGCATTTGGAGGGGATTTCCTCTCCTTTTATCTTTTTTTTTCCAGTGCTGAGTATCTATCTCTCCGTGCTTTGCATTAAGGGATACAAAGAAGGCTGATGATGATGGCTGTTGA